GGGGGGGGGGGGAGGGAGGACCTGGGTGGGTAGAAGAGGGACCTGAGGTGGCGTGTTCCTGCCCCCACCATGTTGTGATGCAGTAAGAGGCCCCTTACTGGATGTGGCTCCTCGACTTGAACTTCCCAGGCTGTGAGACTGTAAGAAAAAAATTTTCTTCTTATAAATTACCCAGTCTGTGGGGCCGGCCTGTGGCTCACTCGGGAGAGTGCGGTGCTGATAACACCAAGGCCACGGGTTCGGATCCCATATAGGGATGGCCGGTTGCTCACTGGGTGAGCGTGGTGCTGACAACACCAAGTCAAGGGTTGAGATCCCCTTACCGGTCATCTTTTAAAAAAAAAAAAAAAAAAAAAAAAAAAAAAAAATTACCCAGTCTGTGATATTCTGTTATAGCTGCAGAAAACAGACTAAGACACACGTGATCCAGCAGTCCCACTACTGCATATTTACCAAAAGGAAATGAAATTGGTACAGTGTGCAGAACGGATGTCTGCACGCCCATGTTTGCTGCAGCGTTATTCACAAGCGCCTGCACTGTTGTGACTGTGGAAATAGCTTGTACCTACCCACTGAGGAGCACATAGAGATTACAACCAAACAGAAGCATGCATGGGGGGAAAGGCTGAAGGAATGGGGCAAACTTAGTGGTGCGGTTCTGACTGTCCTTAGTATTTAAAACCTTGAGTAATAAAATCTTCTGTATCATCAACTTTATTTTCTGCTTGGCCGATACCATCACTCCCATTAGAAAATGAAGTTGTTTCTCTCTCTGTAAAGCAAAGACGCTCTCCTGGCTCCTTTTTCCTCTCCAGCTCGTGCCCTTGGCAGCAGGACTCCATGGAGAAATGGCCTCTCTCTGTTTCCAGTTCTGTCTGGAGCCTATGGCAGACAGGCTTTGTCTCCATGTCCCCAGCAAAGCTACACATATTAAGGTCACCAATGGCTCCACATTGCTAAGCCCTGGTCCATCTTCAGTCTATATCACCTTTTCATCCCAAGCTTTGGGAGGATGTCAGAACCCATGAAAGCTGTAAAGGTAGAGTCTCCAGAGCGCCCTTGCAGTCCTCTCTTGGGATTCGCTTTCCGCACCTTTGCTTCCTCTTTCTCATACACAAAACCGTTTGAACTTCACTTGCAAACCTCATGACACTTGACCCCTGTCGGTTTCCCTGAGAGCCACACTCTGCACATCTCTAGTGTCCACAGCACATCCACGTTTTCTCAGTTGGTCCCCAATGTCTTTTTATACCTACTTCTATTCTGCATGGCATTTGGTTGTTGTTACTTATCGTTTTTTTATATCTGGAACAGGACCGGAGTGGTGGTGAGGCGGGCGTGGGTCGAGCTGGGTTCCGGATACTTTGAAGGCTTTGCTGCAGGGTTGTGGAGAATGAGGAAGGAGTCAGGGGGCTTCAGGTTCTGGCCCCAGCACCTGGGAAGACGGAGCCGCCGTGGCTGAGATGCGCGGGGGAGGTCGGACCCCCATTCCCTACATAGCAGGTGGCGCTGTTCTTAGATACCCAAACGGGGGTCACCACCCTCCCCACAAAACATCGCCTCCTGGCAGAGGCTGGGGAGGGTTACATTCTTACTGTTTCCGTGAAAGTTGATGAAATCACTTTCTGTCGGACCCAGATTACGGTCCTGTTTTCTGTTCCTGAATAAACTCACCATATCTGGAGACATTTTTCTCTAACGTGTCTTTTCTAGGTTGACATTGCAAACGTATCTGAGCAGCGCCTTTTCAAACATCCTTTCGAAGGTGTAATGTACGACCCCAAGTTCTCCCCTCCACCCCCGATAAGGGTCGCCAGGTCCCCCCCTCCCGACCACAAGGCAGCCCTGGAAGGGGGGTTGGGGGCTTCACAAAAGGCTGTATTTTCCTGCGTTGAGGGACGGGAGCGCGGTGGCCCCGGCTGCAGGTGAGTGACCCCTTTTCTCCCGTCCCTGGCTGGTTCACCGGAGCACCGCACTCCCGCCCCCGCCAAAGATTCGTCTGGAGACCGGCCACCCACAACCCCTGCCGCCGGGCGCTGCAGTGCTCCGGCCCAGGGCGGGGCGAGTGGGCTCTGCACTCGGGGACGGGAAGTTCCCGCCCGCAAAGACCCTCCCACTCCCCGCCCACCACGCCG